TGAGTCAGCCCACCACCTACTCCCGTCCTAGAGTACAGGGGACATTGTAACCACACTTGTCATCTCTATAAAAAAAAATAACCACAGCAGTGGCATAATTAGGCTCATTTAGGTCAGATTGTAATGAACAAATAGCACCCTTTCATAACCAAATGGGCTTTCCACAATAGTAAATGTGGGAGAAAGGCAGACCCCCTTTCTACGAACATTACAGCGTTTTTCTAAGGCTGCTCAGAGAGGGCTTCCTGATGTTGAAAGAATAAAAACAGACAGCGTGAGGAAAGTGCAACCGATAACCGGCAACTGCATTTACTGGTGATCTGCTGTGTCATTGGACACAACTGATCACATGGTAAAAGGCCACTGTGATTGGCCTTTTACCACATCACATGAGCAGCAGATCAGAGATCACTGGGTGCGCGCCCCCGAGGGCACACGGGAGGTCGTATGACGCCCTCCCAGGACGGAACAACCACACTGTAGCCTTCGTTCAGCTATAGCGCAATTGGCAAGTGGTAAAGTGACAAATTATAAATGTAATAAAACACTGGTAAAATTAAACTCCATAAATTTATTCTAAATGTGATAGTCTTTTATTTACTTCCCAAAATCGAAATCACTGCGTGTTCAAGAAAATAAGAAAAAAAAAAAAAAAAAAAAAAAAAAAAAAAGTTCACCCTTCTGGGTGTGCACTCACTAAATTTCCATGCATCATGGTCGGCATATAATCGCTTTGAAAAATTCCAAATGGGAAGGGAATGTAACAATAAAGAGTTAAAGACTGATTCTTGCTCACACCGCCACAGAATCATTTTAGGGTTCATTTATTGTGTATAGGATTTATTTTAAGGTGGCAGCAGTGTTTAATTTGGATACATTTCACTTATGCTGTTTTTTTGTATGCATTTAGCGCATCGGTTTTTCCTCACATAAAATCTTAGTGATCGGTAAATTAGGAGAACCACGCCTAGCAGTACTAGGATTGTCGGTTCGAATCCAAACCACAGCACTACCTGTCTGGAGTTTGCATGTTCTCCCTGTGCCTGTGTGGGTTTCCTCCTACATTCCAAAAACATGCCAGTAGGTTACATAGTTAATCTGGCTGAAAAGAAGAGTGTCCATCCAGTTCAAAAAAAAAAAAAAAAAAATCCTATACTCGCGGTTGATCCAGAGGAAGGGAAAAAAAAAAAAAAAAACCCAGCAAAGCATGATCCAATTTGCTCCTGCAGGAAAAAAAAAATTCCTTCCTGTTCCCCTGAGAGGCAAAAATCGGATATTCCCCAGATCAACTACCTATAAACGTTCATATCCAGTTATATTCTGTGTATCTAAGAAAGAATCCAGGACTTTTTTTAAAGCGATCCACTGAGCTAGCCAGAACCAACTCTTGAGGGAGTCTATTCCACATTTTCACAGCTCTCACTGTGAAGAAACCTTTCCGGGTTAATTGGCTCCTGTCTAAATTGGCCGCAGAATGTGTATGGGTGAATGTGTATTAGGGACCTTAGATTGTAGGACTGATGTGAATGCACATATACAGTATATTGTGCTACGTAACTTGATCATGCTATACAAGTACCTGTAAAATATAGAAGCCCGTGCCCTCGTGTATACCATGTAGTAGTGATCAGATCCTAGCTAAGCAGACAATTCTCTTCTGATGGATGAGGAGAAGCATTTTGCTAGAGGGCCACTGGGACAAGGTATAGTAGGGCCCCAGGGTGAAATCCATGTGTTTGTCGTCAAGCAAGCTATAGAGCAGCTACAGCCGCCACAATTCTGTTTACAGCAAACCTTACAAGACCTGGATCTCCTTGCTTGACTACCCAAACAGAACTAGGAAAAAAAAAAAAAAAAAAAAAAAAAAAACAAGCAGTCCCATACACATTATAAATCTACAGCATGTTGTTGCTTTGTGACAATTCACAATCTTTCCTGGCGCCAGCAACTTGCAAAAAGCCTCAGTTTAAGCCGATGGAAGCAAAGTTACAAGTAATAAGTGGATGTCATACTGCCTTGCAGCACTGGGATCCCTTGTTTGAACCCTGGCCAGGACACTGCAGGTTCTCCCTGAGAGCTTGTGTGGGGTTTCCTCTGGGTACTCTGGTTTCCTCCCACACTCCAAGGACACACTGGTAGGTTAGTGGTCTCCAGACCAATTGGTCTTAGTATGTACAGCTATCTTCTGCATGAGTAACTTCTTACATGTTGTAAGGACTCAAATTAGTCAGAGGTGATGGGGGGGGGGGGCTTCCAGCACACAGCTGGAGATTGACAGCCACAGCTAAGCAAGTTTCCCTATGAGACTGTAGAGGGGAGTAAGCCCATTCCCTCCACTCAGATCTCAGATTACACTCAGTTATCCTCTGAACAGCAGTGACTCCTTGAACAACACACAGTATGTAAATGTCTTATTAGTCATGTTACATAAATAAGTGTGGGGGGGGGGGGGCGGTCCTTGAGGGCACGGAGTGATATGAACACACAGTAAGCCCATTCCCTAAATGTCTGTTATTAGTCATGTTACATAAATAAGGTGGGGGGGGGGGGGGGGGGCCCAGAACACAGCTTGGGATTGACATCCTCAGCTGAGCATGTTTCCCTATGAGACATGTTTCCCTATGAGACTGAACAGCAGTGTGTGTAGAGAGGGGAGTAAGCCCATTCCCTCCTCTCAAGTCTCAGATTACACTCAGTTATCCACTGAACAGCAGTGACATCCTTGAGAGAACAGAGTGATATGAATATACAGTATGTAAATGTATGTTATTAGTCATGCTACATAAATAAGGTGAACCAGAGTTCACTTTAAATGCCCGTTCACATGCTCACATTTTGTTTTTTTTTCCCCCCTTACACATGATTCGGTATTCAAAGTAAACATAGCTTCACCTTATGCACCAATATTCACTTTGCCAAGGGAGCAGCCTTTACACCCCGAGTCAGTCAACCCCAATGTTGACCTATGGGCAGGTTTTCCTTAACTGATCAAGGAATGCGATTCACTAGAAGCTGCCAATGGGAGCGGTTCAAGGAGGGGCAAAGTCCATTGTCTGGCTGGTTAGAAGTGAGAGCCAGAATAGGTGGCTTCTTCTCCTAACCCTTCATATTCCTGTTCTTATCTTTTTAGACATGTAAGAAAAACAAAACCCTTTTAAAAGATATCTATGGGCAAATACTGAGCTCCTTCCCTCTCCTCCCATCCCCTGCATTTCATAAAAACTCCTAGCTCCTATTGCTCCCCTAAATCTGCCATCATAGGCCCCTCACAGACAACTCTTCTGGTAGTGCAGACCAGTGATCCAACGCAGTCTGTGCCCACGCTGAACGCTCCTCTTGTGGTGTTCAGGATCCCCTGGATGATACCGCTACGTCAATTTATGCAGCACTTTACATACATACACATAGCACATTCACATCAGTCCCTAACCCTCAAGGGGTGTACAATATAAGGTCCCTAACTCACATTCATACATACACATACTAGGGCCAATTTAGACCGGAGCCAATTCACCTACCAGCATGTCTTTGGAGACCCACACAGGCACAGGGAGAACATGTAAACTCCAGGCAGGTGGTGCCGTGGTTGGGAATCAAACCATCGACCCCAGTACTGCCAGGCAGAACTGCTAACCATTTAGCCACTGTGCTGCCCTTAGACATCTGAATACAGACCAGTTTAAAAAGGGCCACTGAGTCTGTGTAAGCTTTTCATATCCAAGCAAGTCATTGTAATTGAATGTTTTTAAAAATGACCTCTCCATTTCGATCTGCAGTGCTGTATAACATGCAATATGGCAACCTGGTTCTGTACACAGAAAGTGGCATTGCCTGCTTGTGCGACTGGCTCACTGATTTTCCCAGAATTCTGCACTAAAGATACAAGTCACATTTTGGGCATCCCCTGCAACAAAAATGTCATCCTTGGCAAGACACTCCCATAGGAACGTTACGTCTAAAAAAGGGATGCAGACCCTGCCAGATCCCACAGAGCCCTGCAGGTGCAGCAGCTGATTAATAATTATAAACTCACTCCCATACAGATTCACTCTGCACATGGACACAGAGAAAAAGCCATTTCTTAAACACCCCGGTCATACCGATCAGACTTTGAAATCGTGCAACTGCCAATGAAGTCGCGCAATTTCAAAGGCAAAATGTCATTCTGACTTGAGCTGCAACTTGCAACATATCTATCAACAAAAGTGGAGTTACTCTTTTAGGCTCTATGCACATTTTTTTTTTTTTTTTTTTTTTAAGCTCTAGAAGCTAGAAATAGTAGCATCCATGCACACTACTTTAGGCCATTAACATTTGAGCTTCAGCATCTAGGAGCAGGGGAAAAAAAAAAAAAAAAAAAAAAAAAAAAAAGTTTACGTAGAGTTTTTGGAACATTTTTTTTTTTTTTTGCGCTCAGATGCCGGTAATAGTGCGTGGTGTTTTTTGGTTTGTTTGTTTTTTATAGGAGTGTTCATGGTTTTATTAACTTTTCACAGTACATGTAGAAAAAAAGCTGTTCGGAACATTTTTAGAAGCATTCAGCATCTCCTTTTTTTGCTGGAAAAAAAGGAAATGCTGAATGCTTCTAAAAATGTTCCGAACAGCTTTTTTCTACATGTACTGTAAAAAAAAAAAAAAAAAAACAAAAAAAAACACGGTAGGTAGTGTGCATGGAGGCTTTTTAAGTTTTTTTTTCAGAATGAATTTTGGTAACACTATAATTACACACTTTTCTGGAAAGTAAAATTATTAAAAAAAAAAAAAAAAAAAACCACCACACTGTGTGCAACATCAATCTCCTTTTCAAGATTTAGTTTTATCCTTCAAAATATATATAATATATATATATATATATATATATATTTATATATCTGCATAATGCAAATGTGAACTTGACTTAACATGATGTATTTGTAAGCCTGCCAGCTCCTAATTTGGTTGGACAGCTTTCTGAATCTGCCGCTCTGACCACCACAATAATAGAAAGGCGGCTCACATACATGTTTTTGTCATCTTCCGTGCTTTCGTACTCCAGGAAAACGATCTGCCGGGGATAGTGGCTGCAAAGCTCGCCATTGGGGTTCTGGATGATACTGTATGAATAGTCTTTGCCAAAAAGCTCCAGACATCGCCTCTCAATCCGATCCACCTATAACAGAACAATTAGAATAAAAAATAAAATTAATAAAAATATTAACCACTTGCCCCGCAGAGGATTTACCCCCCTTCCTGACCAGGCCATTTTTTGAGTTACGAAGCAGAATTGCTGTAACTGACAATTGCGCAGTTATGCAATGCTGCACCCAATGAAATGTACATCCCCCCCCCCCCCCCCCAATGAATTGAGCTCTTTCGGTGGTATTTGATAGTCAGTGCGATTTTTGTTTGTGCTATTGAAAAAAAAAAAAAAAAAAAAAAAAAAAACAACTCTAGACACTTGATATATAGATAAATAATTTTAATTTTTTTTTTTTTCTTTTTTTGCTATTAAAACATGTCCAGTAAAAAAAAATTTTAAATCAACTTTTGTCATACATTTAGGCCAAAATGTATTCTGCTCCATGTCTTTGCTACAAAATAATCCCAATACGTGTAAATTAATTGGTTTACGTGAATCTTATATAGCCATTATAAAGCAACCTGCTGGCTCCTCCCAGTAGCATTGATCTACCTGCATTGCTTAGTGAAGCACTGAGACCCAGTGATATCACCATACTGGGCCTAAAACAAGGTATGTCATGAAAACAGGAAGGTTTTGTTCATAAAAGGTCATTAGCATGTTGAGGAGTGGAGAGGGGAACCAAGGAAGGCATAATATAAAAGCAAGATAAACCTCAGCTTCAATTTTCTAGTAAAAGAAATTTTACTGGTCTCTATGGGCAACAGAGGTGGGGCAGGGACGTCATCTAATCAGAGAATGCTCTGCATTCAATCAGAAAAGGCAAAGCATTCTTTGAATGGTGTCTGAGCCAAGCAGAGAACGTCCTGTGTTCAGCAGGCAGGAGTGCAGTCGTTTGGCAGGGGGATCGGAAATTAGTAGAGATGACTGGAGTAGGGGTGTGCTCCAGCAATTTCCAGCTTCCAGGGGCATCAACCAGGTATGGTATACACAGTTACGATGGTCCCGGCTGGAGCAATGCAACCATGTGTAATATAGCCATACCTGCAATTCATCTTTAGAGCTTAAAGTGTTACTAAACCCCGGACCCGGCATTCCCTATATCCGGTCTCCCCCCCCCCGACCCGGCATTCCGGCATATCCCATAAATCCGGTCTCCCCATTCCCCTCCCCCCCCCCGGACCCGGCATTCCCTATATCCGGTCTCCCCCCCCCCCCCGGACCCGGCATTCCCTATATCCGGTCTCCCCCCCCCCCCCCCGGACCCGCATTCCCTATATCCCGGTCCCCCCCCCCCCCCGGACCCGGCATTCCCTATATCCGGTCTCCCCCCCCCCCCCCCCCCCCGGACCCGGCATTCCCTATATCCGGTCCTCCCCCCCCCGGACCCCGCATTCCCTATATCCGGTCTCCCCCCCCCCCCCCCGCATTCCCTATATCCGGTCTCCCCCCCGGACCCTGCATTCACCTATATCCGGTCTCCCCCCCCCCCCCAAGGACCCTGCATTCCCTATATCCACCATATCCCCCCTCCCAGACCCTGCATTCACCATATCCGGTTTCCCCCCCCTCCCCGGACCCTGCATTCACCATATCCGGTCTCCCCCACCCTGCATTCACCATATCCGGTCTCCCATTCCCCCCCCCGGACCCTGCATTCACCATATCCGGTTTCCCCCCCCATTCACCATATCCGGTCTCCCCCCCAGACCCTGCATTCACCATATCCGGTCTCCCCCCCCCCCCGACCCTGCATTCACCATATCCCGGTCTCCCCCCGACCCCATTCACCATATCCGGTCTCCCCCCCCGGACCCTGCATTCACCATATCCGGACCCTGCATTCACCATATCCGGTCTCCCCCCCCCCACCCCCCCCCCCCCACCCTGCATTCACCATATCCGGTCTCCCCCCCCCCCCCTGCATTCACCATATCCGGTCTCCCCCCCCGGACCCTGCATTCACCATATCCGGTCTCCCCCCCGGACCCTGCATTCACCATATCCGGTCTCCCCCCGGACCCTGCATTCACCATATCCGGTCTCCCCCCGGACCCTGCATTCACCATATCCGGTCTCCCCCCGGTCGGACCCTGCATTCACCATATCCGGTCTCCCCCCCGGACCCTGCATTCACCATATCCGGTCTCCCCCCGGACCCTGCATTCACCATATCCGGTCTCCCCCCGGACCCTGCATTCACCATATCCGGTCTCCCTCCCAAGAAAAGAAAGGAAAAAAAAAAACCTCTAGCATTACACACCAAACTGAGCATGTGCAGCTTGCCCCCAAGGCTCTGTTCTATCAGCAGATTGATTAGGGACAGTAGAAGAGGGGGGATCCCCTCACATGACAATGAAGGAACCTGTAATTTCCACCTTGCAGTAGTAGAGTCCCACTAGGAGTTCTACTCCCTCTGCAGCTGGTGCATAGCAGATGTACAGCCAATCTCTGCCCAGTACACGGGGAATCTACTTCACTTGACAGTATAACAGGTTTCCATTTATAAAGGAATTGTAAAGTTCAAACAGCGACTGTCTTGTGGACATTTGTCCATCTGTATTATACAGCACTCATTTGCAAGCACTCTACAGGGTCGATTTCTAAAGTTCACTGGACAAATGTCAATAGTATTCCCGCAACAGTCACAAATTTTCCCCATCAGTGCCATCTAATGGCCATAATGTGGTATGTTCCTGAAATACCTCATCCAATGCCACATTACAGCCACTAGATGGAGCCAACGATCATAGGAAATAATCCTATTAGACAAAATACGGGAAATATTTGCGATGGCTGTGCGAATGCTGGTGACAATCTCCCAGCTAATTGTTTTGTATACATGCAGTGCCTTGAAAAAGTATTCATACCCCTTGAAATTTTACACATTTTTTTCACGTTACAACCAAAAACTTAAATGTATTTTATTGGGATTTGATGTGATAGACCAACACAAAGTGACACATAATTGTGAAGTGGAAGGAAAATGAATGGTTTTCAATTTTTTTTTTTTTTACAAATAAATATCTTATTTGTTGCTGGAAACTGTTACATTGTAAACAGTGGCTGGTGTGGGAATGGTCTATGTAGCCCCCCTGTATATCCCTTGTAATAAGAGGATCTGTCAGGGGGCCATGATGGGATTTGTAGACCCCCTTCCCCCCCAATAATAGAACCTGATAGGTCATGCTGGGACATGTAGTTCTCCCAGCTTATAATAGATCTGTCGGGAGGCCATGCTGAGATTTTTAGTCCCCAAGTAATAGGATCTGACAGGAGGCCATGCTGGGATTTGTAGTCTCCCAGTATATCCCCTGTAATAACAGGTTCTGTCAGGGGGCATTACAAAAAAAAAAAAAAAAAAAAAATAATGAGTTGCGGTCGCATTGGTCCACAGACCTGATTCATCATATGCCCGTGTTCTTTGCTGCCAAGGCCAGGCATAGATATGAGATAATGAGCCTCATGAATTTCAGTGATCACACTCTGTCGTCCTCTGGGGTGACCCTGAACATGACAGGTTCTACAAAATTCAACCCCTCAAACCACTTCAGAGAAATTTGCAGATGTGTATACGCCCCAGCAAAACATCTGCGTGGATGAGTCACTTTACTGGCCGCCTTGCATTCAAACAGTACATCCCCAGCAAGCGTGCCAGATATGGGGTCAAATTGTATAAGCTCTGTGAGGGCAATATAATAATATATATATAAAGGGAAGAGATAGCGAAGTACAGCCCCCCACCCTGGCTGCCCAGACTACATGGGGAGCAGTTGCAAGATAGTTTGGGACTTGGTGTCCTGTTTGTTCCATAAGGGGTACCACTTACATGTGGACAATTTGTATACAAGCATGCCACTATTTAGACATCTGTGCAATCTTGGAATTGGCTCATGTGACACCATGCGACCTAATCACCGGGGCTTCCCTAAATGGCTTGTAAATACCCGACTTAGAAAGGGGTAGAAAGCCTGCTGGAGGAATGATGAATTAAAGTGGAAGGACAAACAGGATGTTTTCGTCCTGTCTTCCTTTCACACAGATGCAACAGTCCAAATTAAAAAACGGCATCTGGCGTTGTTGAGAAACCCCTCTGTGTCCACGACTATAACCTTAACATGGGAGGGGTGGACTTCACGACCAAAATGATGAATCCATACCTAGTTTCCTGGAAAGCTTGACACTGGTACAAAAAGGTATTTATTTCAATTGGCTCTATATAATGCTTTTGTAATTTACAAAGTAACTAGATGAAGTGGATCCATCCTAAAAGAAGGGATCATCACTGCCCTTTTGTATCCAGAAGGTGCTGTGGCCCAATCCTCAAATCCAGATGCAATGAGTCGGCTGCATGAGAGGCATTTTCCTGGATGTCCTCTCTGGTACCCCAACCCAAAAGGTCACCCCAAAGAAGAGGTCATGTCTGTAGCAGACACAGAATAAGACGCAACACTTTTTTTTGTCCCTCTTGTCCTGGCCAACCTAGTCTCTACCTCAAGGACTGCTTCCGTTGCTATCATACACTAGTGGAGTATTAGTATAGGGTACAGCACAGCACAGCTCAGGGCACATATTTACACAGGGTCTCAAAAGAGGTTAGCCAGTTTCCTACCTATCATATTTTGAGAGACCCTACAATCTGTTTAAAAAAAAATGAAATAAAAAAAAAAATAAAAAATAAATTTAAAACCCAAAAAGTTAGGGTTTTTTTTGTTGTTGTTACTGTTCTGTTACGATTGCACAGTTTTAAATTGTTACCGTTTTATGGTTAACCATTGCCATTTTCTTTGCAGGAATGCTTTCAGCTGCAGCACTGACCTATTTATTCTGACAGCAACAGGAACTTGCTCTCAGAATATACACAAGTCAGTGTGTGCAGCGCTGTAGAATGAGATTTTTCATCCACAGGTGGCCAGTGAGTGGGTGGATGGCCCCTATGCATCAGCATATATATTTTATAATATTTTTGGGCACATTTCACGTGTGCCCGCCATTAGAAGTAGGTGGATGCAGGAAGATATATTCTAATGGTGGGCATACCAGACAATTTCTGGCAGAGATTTCTTCTCTTTTCTATGCAGCCTGTGGGCTGAATGGGAAAAAAAAAAAAAAAAAAAAAACACAACATAGCATATGACCCCTATACTTCGGGATATAGATTTTAAAATTTTTGGGCACATAATTCAGTAAAAAAGTGGTTTTATTGAGTTACTGTTTTAATGTTAACCATTTCCCTTTTCTTTGCAGGAATGTCATTCAGCTGCAGCACCGACTTGTTTATTCTGACAGCAACAGGGTCTTGCTCTCAGTATATACACAAGTAGGTGTGTGCAGTGCTATTGGATGATATTTTTCATCCGCAGTTAAGAAAAAAAAAAAAAAAAAAAAACAGCATGTATGCCAAAGCATGGGGGCCTGGGGTGGAGCGTTATAGATTATATTTGCTGGCACATTTCATGTGTGCCCACCCTTAGAAGTGGGTGGATGCAGGACGGTATATTCTAATGGTGGGCATACCACACACTTTCTAGCAGAGATTTCTTCTCTTTTTCATTCAGCCCACAGGCTGCATAAAAAATAAAATAGCATATACACCCAACAAGGACCAGTGACATACTGGTATATCACTGGACTTTGAGTGGTTATACCAGGCTGATGCCTGCATTGCAGCTGCAGGCATCATCCTGGCATCTTTTTTTCAGCCGGCAATAGGCTTTCATGTAACAGCATTCCTAGTGGCTAATTAGCTGCAGGATTGCTCTTACAAGCAGTGGAAGAACATGCCCCCCCCCCGACTACCCCCGCTGCCTTCCATGGCCTTCTCGGGCAGTCCCGTGCCATCAGTGGAACCTGAGAATGCAGCCAGTGTGTCTGCATGCTGGGATTTGTAGTCCTCCGGTAATAGGACATGTCGGGGGGGTCATGCTGGGATTTGTAGTCTCCCTGTAATAGGACCTGTCATGCCATGAAAATATGTGGAATTACTGCCCAAAATACATTCTGCTACTTCTCCCGAGTATGGGGTACCACATGAGACGCTTTGGCAGTCTAGCCAAGTACAGGACCCCAAAATCCAGTAAGCACCTTCAGGCTTTTAAAGGGCTTTATTTTCTCATTTCACTTCCAGACTACCTATCACCGTTTCGGAGGCCCTGAAATGCCAGGATAGCACAAAAACCCCCCAAATGATCCCTTTTTGGAAATTAGACACCCCAAGGAATTTGATAAGATGCATTGTGAGTGTTTTGCAGATCTTGTTTGTTGCCACAAGTTTTTGGAAAATAAAGAAAACAAAAACATTTTTCTATTTTCTATTTTTTATATTTCAAAATCTTGTGAGAAAAAAAGAGATCTGCAAAATACTCACCATGCCTCTTTTTAAATTCCTTGGTGTGTCTACTTTCCAAAAAGGGATCATTTTGGGGGGGGGGTGTTGGTGCTATCCTGGCATTTCAGGGCCTCCGAAAGTGATGGGTAGTGAGGAAGTGAAATGAGGAAATTATGCACCTTCAGGCTTTCAAAGCGGTCATTGGATTTCAGGCTCCTGTATGTGGCTAGGCTCCCAAAAAGTCTCACATGTGGTATCCCCATACTTGGTAGAAGTAGCAGAATGTATTTTGGGGTGCAATTCCACATATACCTATGACTTGTGTGAGAAATATATAATTTAAGTGACAACTTTGTGTAAAAAAAAAAAAAAAAAAAAATATATATATTTATATCATTTTCCAAAGACTTGTGGGGGAAAAAAAAAAAAAAAAAAAAAAAAAAAAAAAAAAAAAAAAAAAAGTCTTCCATGGACTCAATATATTCTCAGCAGAAAGCTTAGGGCGTCTACTTTCCGAAAAGGGATTATTTGGGGGTGTTTTGTACTACCCTGGTATTTTAGCACCTCAAGAAATGTGCTGGGCAGTCAGAAAGTAAAAGCTGTGTAAATTCCACTATCTGTACCATAGTTTGTAGACACTAACTTTCACACAAAACAATCAATATACACTTATTGGGATATTTTTTACCAAACACATGTAGCAGAATACATTTTGGCCTAAATTTGAGTTTTTGGGATTTTTTTTATGACAAATGAGAAAATTTTTTTTTTTCCCCAAAACGGGTCAGTCTTTTTTTGGTTTATAGCATGAAAAATAAAAAAGGCGCACAGGTGATCAACTACCACCAAAAGAAAGCTCTATTTGTATGAAAAAAGGACAAAATTTCATTTATGTACCGTATTGCATGATCACGGAATTGTCATTTAAACTAGCGCAGCGCTGTATAGCAAAAAATGGCGTAAATTGCAGTATCTATACCATAGTTTGTAGACGCTATAACTTCCACACAAAGCAATCAATATACACTTATTGGGATTTTTTTTACCAAAAACGTAGCAGAATATATTTTTATCTTAACTTTATAACTAACTTTGAGTTTACTATATATTTTCTATAGCCGAAAGTAAAAAAGAAAAACATTTTTTTTTTTTTTTAATTTTCGGTCTTTGTTTATAGCGCGAAAAAAATTAAAAACCGCACAGGTGATCAAATACCACCGAAAGAAAGCTCTATTTGTGTGAAAAACAGGACGTAAATTTTGTTTCGGTGCAGCATTGCATGACTGCGCAATTGTCAGCTGAAATAGTACAGCGCCGAATGGCAAAAAGAAGGGTCAGGAAGGGGGGCGGTAAATCCTCAGGCGGGAAAGTGGTTAATGGAACAAAAATAGGGCTTTGATCCTTTCCAAAATGTGGATGTTTTTCCATAGAGATGCATTGATGTCCAACTTTCATCCATCAACAAGTAGATGAAGAATGGACAAACGTCCCGCCTGTGTGGAAGGGGTCAGATTGCAATAGCAGATTAACCTTTAGTGGAATTTTTTGTTCTTGTAGTCAATGGACCTTTTTCAACAGGCTTTTTTTTTTTGCACATTTTCTTTGTGATGCAGTTTAATATACAGTATGTTTACATTGTATATCAACTTTCTTGGATGTTTTTACTATGTATATCATTTATGTCTTTTCTTTTAACATTCTATAATTCAGTCATCCAATGTTGTTCTAGTGCGCTTCTCTATATATCTGTGGTTTATGCTGGGAGTCGTAGCCCCCTGTAATAGGATCTGTCAGGGGGGCATGCTGGTATATGTAGTCCTGCAATGGGCCCCGTCAGAGGGGCATGCTGGGATTTGTAGTCCTGCTGTAATAGGACATGTTGGGGGTGGTCATGCTGGGATGTGTAGTTCTTCCTGTAACAGTACATGTCAGGGGGGTTATGCTGGGACGTGTAGTCCTCCCTGTAATAGCACATGTCGGGGGGGGGGGGGTCATGCTGGGATGTGTAGTCCTCCCTGTAATAGCATATGTCGGGGGGGGGGGGGGAATCATGCTGGGATGTGTAGTCCTCCCTGTAATAGGACATGTCGGGGGGGGGGGGGGGGGGGGTCATGCTGGGATGTGTAGTCCTTTCCTGTAATAGGACATGTCAAGGAGCGAAGGGGGGGGTCATGCTGGGATGTGTAGTCCTCCCTGTAATAGGACATCTCAGGGGGGGGGGGGGGGGGTCATGCTGGGATGTGTAATAGGACTTGTCAGAGGCATGCTGGGATTTGTAGTCCTCCTGTAATAGGACATATCAGGGAGCGAAGGGGGGGGGGGCGCATGCTGGGATTTGTAGTCTCCCTGTAATAGGACCTGTCAGAGTGGCATGCTGGGATTTGTAGTCCTCCTGTAATAGGACATGGCACGGGGGGGGGGGGGGGGGGGGGGGGGTCATGCAGGGATTTGTAGTCTTCCTGTAATAGGACCTTTCAGAGGGGCATGCTGGGATTTGTAGTCCTCCTATAAAAGGACATGTCGGGGGGGTGTCATGCTGGGATGTGTAGTCCTCCCTGTAATAACACCTGTGGGGGTGCTGGGATTTGTAGTCCCCCTATAATAGGACCTGTTAGAAGGGTCATGCTGGGATTTGTAGTTCACTTTGTAATAATAGGACCTGTTGGGGGGTGGGGGGGTCATACTGGGATTTGTAGTCCTCCTGTAATAATCGGACCTGTCGGGGGGGAATCATGCTGGGATTTGTAGTCCTCCCTGTAATTATAGGACCTGTCAGGAGGGTCATGCTGGGATTTGTAGTCCTCCTCCTAATAACAGGACCTGTCAAAGGGTCGTGCAGGGATGTGTAGTCCCCCCAAGCAGTGTACTGCTCAGCAGTGGCGGACAGGCGGTCATGTGACTCGGCGGGCGGAGGGGGCGCTGTTTGCGGAGCTCCTCCTCACACACTGCCCGTCTCTCCGGCGTCTCCATGACAACCCCGCTCTGCGCTGCCCTCCCCCCCCCGGTACCGAGCCCCTCACCTTCCCTCCGCTGTCCTTAGCCCGGAACTGTGCCCGGGAGAATTCCTCCAGCAGCTCCCCCAACGCATTCTGCCGGCCGGACTCTTCCATAGCGGACCACCTCCGGTCACTGGATGCGGCCCAGCCCCAACACCGGAGCACCGGGAGCCGCCCGAGAACACATCCGTAGCACCCCTCTGACGCTCCCTTATGACGCCTCTGACACCTGTCACCCGCGCGGGCGGCAGTGACGTCACGGGACGGCTCGGCGGCCATGTTGGTTGGGGAAGAGACGAGGATACATGTGATATTAATAATTAGGATATGACAGGAGAGGAGTGAGGAGGTGTGCGGGATCGGAGGCGGCTGGGGAAGTTACAATAGAAAATGTTCTTCTCTCCCCCCCAAAAAAAATACAGCGCTGCAATTCTACTTCTGGCTACTTGGTGGCACTAGAGAGCACGGTCCTCTATTGCTTACATAGCGGGAGAATCCAATGTAGTTCTGCGTTATGCCAGATAGAATGGTGGCGCTAGAGAGCACGGTCCTCTATTGCTTACATAGCAGGAGACTCTGCTGTAGTTCTGCGTTTTGCCAGTTCGACTGCTGGCGCTAGAGAGCACGGTGAACTATTGTTTATATAGCGCGGACTCTGCTGTAGTTCAGCGTTAGGCCTCAGCTATGCTCGGGGACTGGTGGCGCTCGGCTAAAGAGCACAGTCAGCTATTGTTTACATAGCGGGGACTCTGCTGTAGTTCCGCGTTATGCCGGATCGTCTAGTGGCGCTAAAGAGCAGTTAGCTATTGTTTATATTTTCAGGGACTTTGCTGTAGTTCCGCGGTTTGCCGAATCGTCTGGTGGCGCTGCAGAGCACAGTCAGCTATTGTTTATACAGCGGGGACTCTGCTGTAGTTCAGCGTTAGGCCGGATCGTCTGGTGGCGCTATAGAGCACAGTCAGCTATTGTTTACATAGTGGGGACTCTGCTGTAGTTCAGCGTTAGGCCGGATCGTCTGGTGGCAGCAGAGAGCACAGTCAGCTATTGTTTTTATAGCTTAGTTCCCTATTCGGCCGTCTGGTGGCCAGAGAGCAGTAGGCTATTGTGTATATAGAGGGGACTCTGCTGTAGTTCAGTCGTTAGGGCCCCACCCTTCCACGTTAGGCCGGATCGTCTGGTGGCGCTAAAGAGCACAGTCAGCTATTGTAAGGAGGTGGCAGTAAGGAGCAAGCTCTATCCTAATGCTGTATCTTGCTTTGTTCTCAGATTGGTCTATTTGTACAATTCACTTTATAGTTTCTATATTTATATCATGCTGAGGCAGCACTTTACAGAGTACACAGACCATGCAGATCAGTTCCTGCCCCTCTAGAGAATGTACAATCTGAAGAAGAACTGACAATGGGAAAAACAAAAATGCCATTTTTAAAAAATGTTTTGTAGAAGATACTTTGTATGCCTCGTCTGCTGAAAAACTCCTCCTAATGTTTGTTTTGTTCTGTCTGCAGCTCACACACATACAAAGGCAAATCTGGTGCAATGGTTCAACGCCGTACCTCCCAACCTTGGAACATGAGAACACCCGGGACACCTTTTATGTTTTGACTAGGTTCACACCTAAGCATTTTCCGCAGCGTTTTGCAGAAACGCACAGCAGTCCATTTAACATGAGTTCCTATGGGAGACGTTCACATCTCAGCGTTTTCACCTGGTGCGTTTTTTGGAAAGGGTCAGGGACTTTTTTGAACGCAAAAAGTTGTGTTTTTGGTTCTGTAGACTTCAGTGGAAATGCTGCAGAAAAGCATGTAGTGCATTTTTGATGCGTCTTTGCCGTGTTTTTGATGCGTTTTGCATTTTAAATCTGCCAAGCAACAAGAAAAAAAAAAAAAGCAAAACGTGTCAAAAATGCATGTGCAAAACGCACTGCAGAAGCGGATCAAACACTAACTGCATAGGTGTGAACCTAGCCTGCAGGAAATGCATTAGACCCCGTTCATACTAGGTTTTTTCAAATCACGGGTGGCATTGCGGCAATTCCGCCCACGATTTGAAAACACACTGTCAGACCCATATGGAAGAGAAATATATTTTCAATATATTTAGAAAAAAAAAATATACATGTGACATATATTTAAAATATATTGGTCTACGCGAATATATTTTAACATGTATTCCAAAAATGTAAATTAAAATATATTTTTCAAAGGCATATATTTAAAAATATATTTTTCAAAAATATATTTTCCAGATATTATTGAACATCTAAAAAAAATGCATTTAAACATAAATTTTCAAATATACTTGTAAATGCATTCCAAATTACACTTTGATATATATTGCAGCATGTGTTCTGAATCTATTTTTAATAATATATTCACAAATATATTGAAATATATATTTGAAATATATTGAATAAGGCCAAAATTGGAGTATTTGAAATATAGGTCAATATATTTGGGAAGAATATATTAAGAACGTATTTTTAAAATATATATTTTTTCCATGTGGGAAGTGTGAGAATGCACGATCACATTTTCAGGTGTCATTCATTTGAATGGCATCTGAAAACGCAGTGCGGCGCCTTTTTTTTCAACGCGGCAAACAAAATCGATCAAGCAAACAAAATCGTGGGATGCCCAAAAAGGTTCCAGAATCTTTTTTGGGCGTCGTGCATCCCGCAACTTTGCGCAATCACGGCGTGTATGTCACGTGGGAAAATGTACCGCGATCGCAGGCAAAAATGCCCTGCATTTTCAGGTGCTATTCATTTGAATGCGGTGTGAATAGAGCCATACAAAACGTACGGCTCCAATCGCACCGCACACAAATCGAATGTGATTTGCACAGAAATGCGACACGGTTCCTGTGCGAATTACATGCGATATACCGCACCGCACTAGGTAAGCCTTTTTAGGTTTTTTCAAACTTTTTGAAAAAAAATTTTATTATTTGAAAACACGCTTTCAAAGTGGGAAAATGCAATTGCGTGTTTTCCCACTTTGAAAAAAAATTTTTTTTCAAAAAGTTTGAAAAAACCTAGTGTGAATGGAGGCTTAGCCTGGGTTCACATATATGCGGTGCGGTATATCACACGTGATTCGTACAGGAACTGCGCCGCATTTCTATGCGAATCACATGCGATTTGTGTGCGGTGCGATCGGAGCCGTACGTTTTGTATAGCTCTATTCACACCGCACCTGCCCCAGAAAGGTGCAGGACCCTTTTTTGGGTCCGCACTAGAATCGGATCGCATAGGCAGTCACACCTATGCGATCCGATTCTGTGCATCGCACCACGTTTTGCGGACCGCTTTCAGGGTGTTGTTAACAACATACACACCCGCAGCGATTCGCATGAACGGGGGTGCGATTCTGATGCAGTGTGGAATTCGCACAGAAAAGGCTGCAAATTCCGCACCACATCAGTGTGAACCAGGGCTGAAGGTTAAAAAAAAAAGTTTAGGCTTTAGAACCACTTTATGATTTTGGGTCTCGTAGAATCCAGGACAGGTGGGGGGTATGTATGGACTGTTATCATTCACATTTACAATTTGGTCCTCAGTATCCTGCTGTACAGACAATCCTGCAGCAGTATAGAAGACATTTCACTGATTGTTCTTATACCTCCAGATCAGGGGTGTACTGACCATTTGGAAACTCAGGCACTGCCCGAGGGCCCGGGGTCAGTAGCGGGCCCCATGAGATGCCCCTGGTACCTTTTTCATAGGCTTTTTTGAGTTTGGGCAAGGAAACGGGCCCCATGATCCCCTATTGCCCGGTGGGCCCCATGAGTTGTCAGTCTACCCCTGTTCCAGATAGATGAGGTCACATTTTATCACAAGTGAAAAAGGAGATGAGGAAGAAAAAAAAAAAAACGAATGTTCTTTTCATTGACCATTGGGGTTTCAGCACATATACAGTGCTGCAAAAGGTCACACATGTTACAAATCAGTGGGGTCATAAAGCACATGTAAAGCGCTTAACCACTTGACTCCCAGGCCAAATTGACATTTCTGTCATACATGGAAAAATCAGCATTTTTCTGCTAGACATTTATGTAGGACCCCAAAACATTAAATATATTTTTTAAGCAGAAGCCCTAGAGCACGGGTATTGAATTAAAATCCACGGAGGTCCAGTGAGTAAATTATTTCTTCCTGCAGAGGTCCGTATCGCATGTTTGATTGCTAATGGTGCCTCCGGGCATCGGCAAACATGGAGCGCTCTCACGGGCGCCATTCTGCATGATGCTGCAGCACCATGTGGCTCAGCGTGGCGCAATTTACATTAGGGCCAGGGAATTCTTTTTCTGCTTTTCTGCATGTAAGGCAGCTCGTTGAAATGAAAGGGCTGCCTAGATGCACAGTGCAGGTTGCAATGATGTTATTATTATTATAATACAGTATTTATATAGCGCCAACAGTTCGCTCAGCGCTGTACATTATAATGGGAGACAATACATGCGACAGTACAATAATACAATGCGATACACGAGGGGTTCGAGGGCCCTGCTGCTTGGAGCTTACAATCTAGGATGTAAACGCAGTCGCAGATCCTTCATCCTTCACATTACAATCCTATTATTACATCAGTATTCTCAGTCTCCCCTGCACATCACCCCCCCCCCCCCCTTCATATGACCCACCCCCCTTCACATTTAGGGTTGCCACCTCATCCCTTTAAACAAGAACATTAACCCCTTGCCTACTGGGCACTTATACCCCCTTCCTGCCCAGGCCAATTTTCAGCTTTCTGAGCTGACGCACTTTGAATGACAATTGTGCAGTCATGCAACACTGCACCCATATGACATTTTTATCATTTTTTTCACACAAATAGTGCTTTCTTTTGGTGGTATGTACTCGCCGCTGGGTGTTTTATTTTTTTTGCGCTATAAACAAAAAAAAGCAAACATTTAGAAAAAAAAAAACATTTTTGTTTCTATTATAGAAACAATTGAGTACTGTCCGTGATACTTTTTTTTATTTGCACTAACATACAATTTTGAGGACAAGCTTTCGGGGTATGTCCCCTTCTTCAAGGTCTAAGCAGTACTATTACAAATCACAAAGTTTAAGCAGAATTCTGCTTAAACTTTTGATTTGTAATAGTACTGCTTAGACCTTGAAGAAGGGGACATACCCTGAAAGCTTGTCCTCAAAATTGTATGTTAGTGCAAATAAAAAAAAAGTATCACGGACAGTACTCAATTGTTTCTGTCGCAAATGCACTAATACGGCTACAATCACCTCAAGCAAAATGGAAGTTGTTTCTATTATAAAATTTTGCAAACAGGTAATTTTTCTCCTTCACTGATGTGCGTTCATGAGGCTGCACTGATAGGCAGCATTGATGGGCACTGATGGGCACTGATAGGTAGCAATGATGGGCACGGATAGGCGGCAGTGATGAGGTAGCCCTGATATGCACTGATGGGTGGCACTGACTGGTGGCACTGCTGGGCACTGACAGGTGGCACTGCTGGGTAGCACTGATGGGTGGTACTGCTGGGCAATGGTGGGTGGCACTGCTGGGCAATGGTGGGCACAGGTGGGTGGCACTGATGGGCACTTGTGGGTGGCACTGGTGGTGGGTGGTACTGCTGGGCACTGATCTTCAGTGCCCTAATGATCGGTGCTGATCCCTCCTCTGACAATTATCACCCCCCTCCTCCTCTGTTATATCACCCCCCTCCTTCTTCACATTTCTGTCCTCAGCCCCCCTTTATATCACTTTTCTCCTCCTCCATATTTCTGTCCTCAGCCCCCCTTTATATCACCACCTCCTCCTTCACATTTCTGTTCTCATCCCCCCTCCTTTATATCACCCCCTCCTCCTTCACATTTCTGTCCTCATCCCCCCTCCTTTATATCACCCTCTCCTCCTTCACATTTCTGTCCTCAGCCCTCCCCCACTTTATATCACCCCCTCCTCCACATTTCTGTCCTCAGCCCCCCTTTAAATCACTTTCCTCCTGCTCCACATTTCTGTCCTCAGCCCCCCCTTTATATCACCTCCTCCTTCTTCACATTTCTGTCCTCACCCCCCCCCCCCCCCTTTATATCACCCCCTCCTCCACATTTCTGTCCTCATCCCCCCTTTATATCACCCCCTCCTCCTTCACATTTCTGTCCTCATCCCCCCCCTTTATATCACCCCCTCCTCCTGCACATTTCTGTCCTCAGCCCCCCTTTATATCACTTTCCTCCTCCTTCATATTTCTGTCCTCATCCCCCCCCCCCCCCCTTTATATCACCCCCTCCTCCTTCATATTTTTGTCCTCATCCCCCCCCCCCCTCTTTATATCACCCCTCCTTCACATTTCTGTCCTCATCCCCCCCCCATTTATATCTCCCCCTCCTCCTTTACATTTCTGTCCTCAGCCCCCTTTATATCACCCCCTCCTCCTTCACATTTCTGTCCTCAGCCCCCCTTTATATCACCCCCTCCTTCATATTTCTGTACACACCCCCCCCCTTTATATCACCCCCCCTCCTCCTTCACATTCCTGTCCTCAGCCCCCCTTTATATCACCCCCCTATTCCTTTACAGTCCACTCCTCAGCACTATCACACCCCCTTCACATATGTGCTCCTGGAGAAGGGTGGGCTTGAACGTCCACATGCTGCACATATGCATCACTGGGCGCCTGATGTTTCTGTGCACACTCCCAGCACAGAGACGAGCTGTCAAAGACAAGTCATTCCGGGTGACATGAAGGAACGTGTGTATGACAGTATTTCCTCCACTTAAATGCAAGCCATGCTGAAGAGATCCATTGGAGACCTATTGCAGTTAGACAAAGTTGAGTGATGGGTATCACCTAATAGGGCTTGGGGGGAGCCTTCAAATGCTGCCAAAAGAAAGGGAGAGGGACTGGAAGTAGCAGAGTGTATCCAATCACAGATATAGGCAGTTTGTGAGGCAATAAAGTAATTATAAAAATTTGGGCTGGATAAGCCTCCCTCCACTGATACACGGAAGATTAGCCATTTCTGGCTGAGGATTATCCCAAATAAGAGAGGAGATGCATGAATCTATTGCCCCGTACACACGATAAGAAAATCGTACGAAACATTTTGCGGAACAACTGATCGAACGATTTTCTCTTCCTTAATAAACAGGATGTTTTAATCGATAACAATATTGTGAACGAAAAAATCCGGATGAACAACAGTGAAAAAGTTTGTCGTTCCGCATAGGCACGACCGATTTTCTATGCAGTGGCATGACGGTCGTACAAGAAAAATCTATCAAGCGCTATCACGCATGAGCGGAAACAGAAGATGACCCGGATGTTTATGTCCAAGGAATCTTCGTAAACACGAACGAAAAATCCAAATGTTAAAAGTAGATCGGCCTAAGGAGATAATGAAACCTGAATTCTGCAGATTATATTTTATGTATCACTATTTATGTATATAAATCATGTAATAAACGATATTATACTCATTGCTGGTAATTGTGTATATCGATCGTTCTGGCTGGAAGGGCGTGGCTACAAGGTCACATGCACACCGCATCACTTCCACTTGTACGGAAGACGTCAACACTATGTATTGCCCGACGAACGATTTTTTTAGATTGGTTAATGTGGGCCACGATTTCAACCAATGAACGCCTCTTGGTTGTCGGATGACCGATCGGTCGATTTCTAATTGTGTATTCCCGCCTTATGTGTTTGAACAGTTGCCTAGGAAGAAAAAAAAAACAAGAATACCTTTAGAACATATAGAAATTTAGAGAGAAATATAATTTTAATAAGATTATCTGTCCAATTTAAACATTTAAAGTGATGGTAAAGCCTGGTAAAAAAAAAAGTGAAGTGATTTATTTTGATGAATTTTGCATAATAATTTTTTCTTGACCTGGTGATCACAAGAATGGACTGAATTATTTGGACTTTTATATATGTTTATTAATTGAAAATTATCATTATTGATGCATGCGCCTCATTAATATTTATTTATTCTTTAAATATTATTTGATTATGTATATTTTTATGATTGCTGGTGTTTGGATGGATTTTGTTGCACTGGAAATAAGCATACACAGTCTGGTCCCAGTTTCCTAAATGTAGCTGCAGAGATTTGGTCATCTCTACTGCCGATTCCCGACACTAGTTTATGAAAAATAGATTGTAGTGAATGAGTATGAATGAGGGGGAATAAGTATATGGTCTAGTGTTACTTTATTATTATTATTATAATACAGTATTTATATAGCGCCAAAAGGTTTGCTCAGCACTGTACATTATAGTGGGGGACAGAACATGAGACAATACAGTAACAACAATACACGAGGGGTTCAAGGGCCCTGCTCTTTCGAGCTTACAATCTAGGAGGGAGGGGATAGTGGTACAGGAGGAAGTGGCTGTGGGGGATGGAGTGGTAGGAGGAGTGAAGGAGATCGGCTGTTAGGTGAGGGTGGGGTAGGCTTCCCTGAAGAGATGGGTTTTCAGAGTGCGCCTAAAGGTGAGGAGGGTAGGTGACAGTCTGATGGATTGGGGTGGTGAGTTCCAGAGGGTGGGGGAAGTCCTGGAGAAGTCCTGCAGTTGGGCGTGGGAAGAGGAGACCAGGGAGCTAGAAAGAAGGAGGTCTTGTGAGGAGCGAAGAGTACGGGTTGGGTGGTTTTTGGGTATCAGGTCAGTGATGTAGTTTGGGGCAGCATTGTGAATGGCTTTGTATGTCTGTGTTAGTAGTTTGAATTTAATGTGTTGGGCAATCGGAAGCCAGTGGAGGGAATGACAGAGGGGGGTGGCAGATACGGAGCGGTTGGTAAGGTGGATGAGTCTGGCCGCTGAGTTCAGGATAGACTGAAGCGGGGATAGTCTGTGACGGGGCAGACTGACAACTCATGGGGCCCCCGGGCAATAGGGGATCATGGGGCCCCTGTGTCCTTGTCCAAACTCAAAAAAGCCTATGAAAAAGGTACCAGGGGCATCTCATGCGGCCCCCTACTGACCCCGGGCCCTCGGGCAGTGCCCGAGTTTCCAAATGGTCAGTCCGCCCCTGGTCTGTGATGAGGTAAGCTGGTGAGAAGGGAGTTGCAGTAGTCCAGACGTGAGATAGTCCAGACGGGAGACTAGGGTGAAGAGCTTTGAATATAAAGTCTGGACTGTTGTTATGATAGGAATTATATTGACCGGCTCATATTTAGTGATAGCTTTATGGATTTAAATCCCAGTATATCTAAAGTCATAAATGAGTGCATAAGAGATACTTCTAGGGTTGCGATGGGCCTATGGGGAATAATATGTATGGATAACGTAACACAAGTAAGCATACAGAGAGAAGCTAATGCCACTTTAAGTTAACACCAAATCCTGCCTTAATGTCGTTTGACATGTGCTAGACAGCTTTATAAGGCAAAGTTTATTGTGAGACTTCATTGTGCTATTCATTCCCCTATCGGTAAGAGAGCGCACGTCCCTCATGTCCTGGTATACTTCAATTGAGACATCTCCTTTGTTCCCTCAAGCACCTATCTTGTGTCGGCTTTCACACTAATTGGATATAAAATGTGTCCTTGAATTGGTGCCCTTGCATCCCTGGCTTCCAAGACACATTAACACTTTAACCCAGTCTGGCATGCCTTATTGACGAGGGACATGTCAGCTTTGGTATCATCACATAAGGCTCTGTCTGTCTGCAGGATGTACATTTTGCACCTATTACACTTAACGAAGATAGAAAAACCCAATTATTAAAAATCTCCTATAATTTGTAACATGTTTGAAAAGTTTTAAATCCATAGCTTTCAGCTAATGAATACATGGTGATCCTGCCATGAATGTTCTTGGTCAGGCACTTCCTGTTTTGAGGGGGCAATGCTCTATCCACTTCTACCCAATGTACACCTGTGTTTTCTTTCTGTTACCTTGGTGGAGACTACAAGTGACCGCTCTGACACACATTATGCAGTCATGGTGCACTATTGAAAAATATACCGTATGGTGCCGCTCCAAGCTATGAATGGAAGGAAAGGATCACTCCACCAGGAAGTGAGAGAAGGGGAGCATGAGTCTGAGCGATTCCAGTGTCAGCCAATACAAGTGAAGGGATGGATGTTGCTCAACAGATCCCAGGAGTCCAATGTTGAGGAATGGCCTCAGCTGCCGTTCTGGCCACGCCCACTGACGAATTTCTCCCTGCCCACCAGGGATTGGTCATGGAGGTCTGTGACCAAGCCCCCCGGCGGGCAAGGCGAAACACATCAGAGGGTGTGGCCAGAACAGTGGCTGAGGCCATTCCTCAACATTGGACTCCTGGGGTCAATTGAGCAACATCCATCCCTTCACTTGCTGGTCACTGTTGTCACTATCAGAAAGATGGTCCCGACCAATGATGTGCATGTTAGCAGGCCCCTAATCATGACAGCCCAGGGCACCTCCCATATTTCTCCCGCAACAGGAATGAGATGGGATACGATACGCTTGTAGAATGGAGGGACTCCATTCTCTTGGTTACTCACATGCTCCTGGTCAGAGACCCACCTCCAGAAATAACGAATGTCACACAATCAGCCTTTTCAATGTTTCACTGTAATATGAACAGAATGCACATTTCTTCCCAATACAAACGTATGCCTCTTATCCTTTGCCCCTGATATTAGCAATACTGTAAAGTCTAAACTCAACTTTAAAACAAGGATGTAAAGGCAGAAGAAGATTCCCGATAGCTGCACAATGTGCAAGCCCATCCATCAGATTATAGCAGCCTCAGTCTAGCTCTGTCCAAGCCATGCCCCCATAGCATTTCACCCAGCCGACTGGGCTTAGTCATGGAGGACATAAGGATGCCGCCCAGCACTTCAAGTTTTTTTCACTGTAGGTTCCCTTAGATAAGCTCTCTGACCTACCCCACAGAGCATGCTTCACTTGGTCTGTAACCTACATAGTGGTATTCTGTAGGCTACCTTTTCCCACCAACTTCTGACCTAAAGTTCTTCTGGCCCCTGATTGTAAAGGAAGGGGCTAGCCCCATGCATAGTACCCTCTCAGGGGAGGGGTTTGCCTAAAAGGGGTACTAACCCCTGCTTACATTCAGCCATATATATATATATATATATATATATATATATATATATATATATATACAGTTGCAAGAAAAAGTATGTGAACCCCTTGGGATTACGTGGAATTTTGCATGAATTGGGCATAAAATGTGCTCTGAATGTCATCTAACTCACAACAATAGAAGAACACAGTCTGCTGAACATAATACTACACAAACATTAGATGTTGCCATGGTTTAATTGCACATAACATGTAAACATTCACAGTGCAGGGAGGAAAAAGTATGTGAACCTTTGGACTTAATAACTGGTTGACCCTCCTTTGGCAGCAATTACCTCAACCAAACGTTTCCTGTAGTTGCAGATCAGACCTGCACAACGATCTGGAGTCATTTTGGACCACTCTTCTTCACAAAACTGTTTCAGTGTAGCACATTTTATGCCCAATTCATGCAAAACTCCACGTAATCCCTAGGGGGTTCACATACTTTTTCTTGCAACTGTATATATATCTCATATACTGTATGTACAGGAGTCACTTAAAGCTGAATTCCAGGTATCAAAATCGCAGTTATGTAAAGATACATGTCTCATTTCTGAGGGGCTGAAATGGAAAGGGACAAGTTGGTGCAACTACAGCGTTGACCACTATCTTCTTGGTCCTGTGAGAAGCCGCTGCCCCCCCCCTGCATACTGCCCGCAAGCTGGACCAATGTAACTGTGCAATTACGATCATATCTGAAGCTCACCTTTAAATAGGATGGGGAAGAAGAGAAGCAAAAAAAAAAAAAAAGGATAAAGTAAATACCAAAACATTATTTCATAAAAGAAAAAAAGGCAATTGTTTAGGACATGCAGTGCTTTATCAGATTATGTTTCATCCAATTATGGTTTAAATAGAAGTTGGCTATGTTAGTAATTTTCACCTTGAATAGGCTTGTCCAAATCGCATTACAGGATCTACAGTACTATAGCTATAAAAAAAAAAACGGTTTGTAACACAGAAACTGTTCACACTACTGATAACAGGAAACAGAGCTGCCAAGTACGCTTCTTTCTGCCTTACATTCCTCACATTTTACAAACCGTCCTTTATGTTTATGCAGAAATGTTGACAGCTATGCCGAAAATGATGCTGTTGCATGCAGTAGTTACCATGGCTGACAAGGACATACCATATACTGTATGCCCAAAAGTATGTTGAGACCTGACCATCACACCTTATGAGCTTGTTGGACATCCAATTCCAAAACCAGGTGCACTTGGTCAGATATTAGCTTTCAAAGTCATTTTAGAACAGTGTTTCTCAACCTTTCTTCAGTCAAGGCACCCTTTAAAATTATGGACAGTCTTGAGGCACCCCATTCTAAAATGGGGTGCCTCAGGAAGATCCATAATTTTAAAAAGGGCACCCCATTCTAAAATGTGAAAAAACTACTCTAATAGTTTTATATAACGCAGCAACATCCATACATGTAGGACACCCAACATTAGAGGAGATTCATTCTTCCAAGCAAATACACTTTTTGCACACTGGTACTGACTAGTAGTCTAGTGTTTCTCTTTTCCCTCCTAGTTTTTCTCCATCACTGAGCTAATGCTAGTCAAACTAGGATGCTGTGCAGGCAGCTGATATCCTCCTTATCAACTGATGATGTCATTTATTGTCAGGACGCTGGCAGCTAGAAGGTCATAATGGTGCAAAATGAAAACCTGTGACTTTGTGTAACTAAAAGGCAGGCGTGTTCCACTCACTGGCATGGATCCAAGTTTTGGGCAATTTTTAGACATTTTGCCAAGGCACCCCTGAAAAAATCTCAAGGCACCCTGGTTGAGAAAGTCTGTTTTAAACAATCGTGAACCTCCAATAGTAAATTGATGAAGGTTCTTCTCTGTTCCACCTTGTGCACAAAGCCAGCACTATAAAGACTAGTTGGAAGAGTTTGGTATGAAGGAACTTGAGTGACCTGCAGAGTCCTGACCTCAACTCTACTGAACACCTTTAGGATAAATTGGAGCGCTGATTGTGACCCAAGTATTCTCATCCAACATCAGTACCAGACCTCACAAATTCTCTTTTTGGCTGAATGGGCACAAAATTTCAAAAGACACCCTCAAAAATCTTGTGGAAAGCCTCCCTAGAAGAGAGGAGGTTGTTATAGCTAGATATGGTCAACTTTATATTAATGTACATGGTTTTGAAATGGGATGTTCAACAAGCTCATATGGGTGTGATGGCCAGGTGCTCGCCATCTTTTGGCCATATAGGTGTGTACTATGCATCATTTCAATCAAAAGGTTAAAGCAAACCTTTGCATTCTGTCATCACTGATTTTTAATTAACCTGCCAGATTTCCTGTACTTAGTAGAAGTGATTTGCTTGGCTGTAAAAACTAACACACACACACACACTAGAGTAGGAATTATTTTAGGGCCATCATTAGGTCTATAGTGACAAGGTGAGCAAGGTTTTATTTGCCTATTTGAGGGTTTAGGTGTCATATTTTTTCAGTTTCCCAAGTGCATGTGATATTGCAGTAAGATGTAGTTGTTGTTTATTAACTTAAAGACAAACTTTACACTTCTGTGCCATAAAATCCTTGTTTCATGATAACTATCCCTCTGTATTATGAAGAATACATATACTTACAGGGTCATCAAATCCAGTGTTGACACCCTCCCCCAGCTGTGATTCTCGTAGCACACAGCTCATACTGTGCCACCATTTTTTTTTGCCATCGTGGGCCAGATGCAAGAATCTGGGTAAGACAGCCAGCCCCCTGAGACCTTGCACATGCTTAGTCTCTGCTCTCTCTTTTCCCAGACACAAGAGCGTTCAGGGATCTGCTGCCCCCGTGCGATATGTGGCAGGGTTATTCCAGGTGGTTGTAGGAAGAGGCACAAACATAATTAATAACTATGCATAAATGGAGAAGGGGGGGGGGGTGTATGCAAACAAAAATAAAAACTGTCTTTTTGATATTGTGCAGGGGGAAGATTC